TATGTTCATAGGTACAATTTTTAAATTTCTGACATTTTTTAAATGATAAGTCTGGTTGAATTTATTTCTGTGTATAACTAGTGCATTTAATAAATTCTTATTTATGAATGTTACTTTTATGTTCATAGATACGTGTTTTAAATATCTGCATGTTTCACCAATGTATTGTGAGGATCAGTTTTGGCAATTTATTTTATATACGCTTGCTTCTGTATTATTATCTTTATGAATGTATTTAGTTCTGATCCTATCCATAACTATTTATAGTCACAAATGCTACAGATAAGATGCTTGCTCAGAGTGTGTATTATATAGGAATAAAGTGTCGCTGCCGACACTTGAGTTTGAACATAGATCGTCAGTGAGCAAACACGGGCGATCCCATTATTGAATTTAGTAGATCACGTGACCATAGAGGAAACGCATATATGGAAGGTAGCGTGACGTCTAATTGATCGCATTTCTAATCTATCCTCTATTACGATACGGATCACTATTTCTAGTCTATCCTCTATTACTAAACGGATCTGTATTTCTAGTCTATCCTCTATTACTATACGAACCGCTATTCTATGCTCTACTCACTATAGTATTTCTCTATTCGGATCACTATTCAGTGGTTACTATTAGAGCGAGTATTATCGAGCAAGTACTATTAGTGCGAGTGTTATTCGAAGGCGTCTGACACCAGTATTGTTCAACGGCGTTATTATAGTTGTATCTGCGATTACAAAGTCTCTACTACAACGAGCATTACCAAAGTGACAACGAGTATTCGTTGACATTACAAAAGTGGCAACGAGTGTTCGTTGACATCCCAAAAGCTGGTGATACCTTGGAAATTTCCAGAACATTGGCAATACATTTTCAGAGTAAAATAATTTAATAGTATAGTAGTATACCTAAAATATACGTTCTCTCAGTAACACCTGTATGATTTTCTGTCTATTAACAATAACTTTCATTGTGATTTCCATTGCATTTCCATAAGAAAAATTTAAAATACCTTTCTGCTCTGTTCGTAACACTTATTTCATCTTGCGACCAGTCGCAATGTATTTCCGTGTGATTTCCATTTCCTTTCCATACTAAAATTATTTATAATGCTGTTCTAGAGTAAATATTTATACAACAAATAACTCTGTCCTGTTCGTAACGTCTGTATTATTTCTTCACCACTGAGAATATTTTTGTGGGGATTTTAGATGCAGTTTTATCGTAAAACCATTAGCAGTGCTTTTAAATTTTAACTATAATAATTCTGTCAATAACGCTTGCCTTTATTATTGATCACTGACAATCAGTTTTTACCCAGATTTGCAATACCTCACACACAGACTGAATGTCGAATTGTGCCCAAACTTTCAAAATAGATGATGGATTTACATTATGAATAATAATGACAACGGTGATATAATCAAAATATGAAGTCGCCCTGTTATTTTTCCCTTTTCTTCTGGAAAAGAAATCTGTTTTACTTTTTTATTTTTTTTTATTATTAATCTCTCGTGAATGAAGGAGAGTACTTTGTTGGCACAGTGAGCAAGGCGTTTTTTTTTTTAATTATATTTTATTTTCTGTTTATTAAATAATAAGCCGCAGGAAAAACAGGCGTCTCTCCTCCCCCACTCTCCATTCTTACAACTGGAACGTTTCTTATTGACATCTTTAAACGATTTTAATATTTTCCTACAAATTGTCTTTTTAATTTTTATTTCTCGTCTACTTTTCTTTTTTTAATGTTTCCACGTTTGGCTTAATTTCATTATAAGCTTGTTTTTGTATTTCCAGTTCATCTCGACATGCTTTCCATTCTTTTTACTTTCTTTCTTTCTTTCTTTATCTGATGTCTCTCGATTCTTTCTTTCTTTCTTTCTTTCTTTCCAAGATGTCTTTTTCCTTTCCTCTTTCAAGTTCTTTACCCTATATCTTCCTTTTCTTTCATTCATTCTTTCTGTACCTTTTGTCTCTCTCTCTCTCTATCTTTCTTTCTTTCTTTCCAAGACATCTTTCTTCACCCTATGTCTCCCTTTTCTTTCATTCATCCTTTCTGTATCTGTTGTCTCACTTTTCTTTCTTTCTTTCTTTCTTTCTTTCTTTCTTTTCCCAATGTCTCCCTTTTCTTTCTTTCATTCTTTCTGTACCTGATGTCTCTCTTTTCTTTCTTTCTCTCTTTCTTTCTTTTTTTCTTTTGTGACGTCTTTCTTTCATTGTTTCTTTCAATTAAAATACCTCATGACTCTCAAGTTCTTCACATCATATCTTTCATTCATTAATTCAATTATTTTTCTCCTTTCTTTTCAAAATTTATTTCCTTCATGGCATTTTCTTAACTATTTTCTCCTGAGTTCTCTAATTCTTCCCCCCCTCTCTCGGCTTAAGCTCTACATTCACTGTAATATCTCAGTTAATTCTCTAGATCCCTCCTTAAAAACTGCAGCTCCGTACGAAACAACAATAAAGTGGGTCCTTATAATATGGCGTCAATGGAGATACAGGTGCGATAGGCTGTTTTCAATAGTGATATGGACACAAGGTGGCGGACAAGGCAAATTACTGATGGATAAATGAAAACAAACTCTTAAATCTGCGGATAGATAGCAAATAAATGCGGATCAAACATCAATGCAATCCCACTGAAGATGGTTAGCCAATAATCATTCTTTCAATAATCATTTGAAAATATACACTGATGTCGCTGAGCCTGAACAAAATGGCATGGGACATTTTTGTCCATCTCCATTGGGGCTGGGAAAATATGAAAAGGTTTTGATCCATCTCTCTCTCTCTCTCTCTCTCTTCCTTTCTCTATCTCTCTCTCTCTCTTCCTTTCTCTCTCTCTCTCTCTCTCTATATATATATATATATATATATATATATCAAAATGAGCAACTTTACTAAGAGGCAGAAAGGAGAGGAAATTGTGGAGAGTCATGACTGGAAGGACACGGCACATACGAGAAGATGTACAGTGAAGAATTATTTTGGATAGTATCAAATGCGCCTGTTTTTTGTTTTCATCATTATTTGAGCAATTTTAAGATTACAATTTTTATTAGGAAAAATATTTAAAAAAAAAACAAACACTTTTGAAATTAGCGTCAAATCGGAATGAGCCTCATTCATGTGGTGGGGGGGTGTAATTTTCTTTTTTTCTTCATCTCTTTCTTTTTCTTTCTTTCTTTCTTTTTTTCTTCTGCCAATCCCTCCCATGACTTTATCTAAATCCTTTCTTTCTTTCTTTCTTTCCTTTTGATCTTCATTCATTCCTTTTTTTCTTTCTTTCTTCGCTTTGCTTTTTTGGTGGTTGGTTTCTTTCTTTCCTTCCTTCTCTCATCCGACCTTCTTTCTTCCTTTCTTTCTTTCTTTCTTTCTTTCTTTCTTTCTTTCTTTCTTCTCCCAATTCCTCCCCTGACTTTATCTAAATCCTTTCTTTCTTTCTTTCTTTCTTTCTTTCTTTCTTTCTTTCTTTCTTTCTTTCTTTCTTTCTTTTCTCCCAATTCCTCCCCTGACTTTATCTAAATCCTTTCTTTCTTTCTTTCTTTTTTTCTTTCTTTCTTTTTCTTTCTTCCTTTCTTTCTTCTCCCAATTTCTCTCCTGACTTTATCTAAATTCTTTCTTTCTTTCTTTCTTTCTTTCTTTCTTTCTTTCTTTCTTTCTTTCTTTCTTTCTTTCTTTCTTCTCCCAATTCTTACTCTGACTTTATCTAAATCCTTTCTTTCTTTCTTTCTTTCTTTCTTTCTTTCTTTCTTTCTTTCTTTCTTTCTTTCTTTCTTTCTTTCCCTTTCGCACCTACTATCTTCTTTCTTTTTCTTCCCTTTCGCCCCGTTATTCTTTCTTACCCTCCTGGCGCCTTTATTATTCTTTCTACCTTTCCGTCCCCCCTCCTCGCACTTACTTTTTTACTCTCTTTCTCTCCGCACTCTTTTTTTTTTTTCGTTATTCTTTCTTTCTTTCTTTCTTTCTTTCTTTCTTTCTTTCTTTCTTTCTTTCTTTACCCCTTTGCACCGTCTTTCTTTCTTTCAAACTATGTACTCCTCACCCGCCGCCTCTCCTTTTATTCCTCCATTATTTTTCGTCCACGCGATCTTAAATTTTTCTTCATCTCATTTGCAACAATTAGTTTATCGATTTTTTTCACCTTCTAATTTTTTCTTTTTTTTTTTTTATTTAAATTTCCTCGAGTTTTTTTCCCTTCTTCATTTGCTCACCACAAAACACCCAACCCACCTATAAATCTTTTTGAATGGTTCACTTGGCTAATATTGTCTTTTGTGGTGCCTCTGTGTTTATTAAAGGATGTTACTGCTTTCGGAACGTGGTCTTTGAAAAGTACCACTCAATATATATATATATATATATATATATATATATATATATATATATATATATATATATTTGTGTGTGTGTAGTTAAAATAATATGTAACATGAAACAGCACAGACAATCCACATTTTTAAAAAGAAAAAAAGCCACAAATAACGTCTTAAAATTTTTTTTATGTAAAAACAATGCTAAACTGAAACTAAATTTGTTAAATTTTAAATTATTTCATTACATTTTTATTTATTTTTAATTTTAATTTGTTATGTAGCATTAAATTGTTTTTCCGAGTTATTAAACCAAAAGCCATTAATCGTGACGTGAGCGCTTTCCTGTAATTTCTGGAGATTATTATAGATTTAAAAAATATTTTTATTCATTTCTCGTGCACACGATTCATGTTAATTTAATTTTCCATTAGTAATTGTTAGTTTCATTGAAATCCGCCAAGAAAATTAAATAGGAGGTCGACACCAGCGATGACTGCAAATGGGGAAATTTAGTTGAAGACTAAACATTGTCAATAAAATTGCGTAAAAGAAAGTGACAAAAAAGAAACAAACAAACACATACACAAAAAAGAAAAAAAAAAACAAAAAGAAAAACAAAATAAATAAATGGGAAAATTTGAAATAAAAAATGGCGACGGAGACTTGCAAGAGGTCGTCTGCTTTCTCTCAAATCAGAAGTGGCGCGCAGGATTTGAGATGGAGAGAGGCGCGCAGTTGGTTTTTGCCCGAAGCCATGTATTTCTGAATCCGATTGTCTATTTGAGCTTTTCTCTTCTTTGATTCCTCGACACGATTATTTTTCTCCGGAGAGCAGTTTATCAAAGCTAATGCGCCAGGAATCGAGGTGTTTGGAGGAGTGATGACGGAGCTGTGTTAATTACATATGAGGTTTAATGGTCTTAAAGTATCATATTCAATTGAATTAAGATGATAACGAAAACACGGGTGCTTTATTCAAAAGCTTGGCTTCTTCGCACGCATGCGCACACACTCACGTAAGTGCAAAAATATATTCAATTTTATTTTCAAAGGGAAATCAAACATACATTTAAAAAAAGAGAGAAAGAAAATTAGGAAAGTAAAAACTGCTTGTAAATTAATTTCATTTCCATAAGTTTCAATGACAAATATGTGTGACTGGTTGATTTTTTAAGGTGATGTGAATTTAGATAAAATTAAAAATGCTATTATTAAATTGCCTTTGACTGTTTAATGTCATATAAGGTTTATACTTCATGTTACACCAAACTAAAGTCTTTAACACTGGTAAGAATGTATTTATATCTAAATAACAAGGAAATATCCATCTGAAGAATCTATGTATGGTTTTAAAGAATTATTTAAAGCAAGAAAAACGTTACAAAGAAAGAATATCTATCAGAAGATATCGTTGACTTATGGAAGTGTTTATAGAATTAAACCAAGTTTGGCCTAAGGTAGGCAAAAATAGTTCTAATTAAGAAGCATCTTGACTAGAAAAGGATCATCAGGAATCAGCCATTACTAATGGCACGGTTTCTTTAAATACACTGGAATGAGAAAAACAACATCCATCTACCTTCCATCAGCATGGCTGATGCTAACCTCTACGAGAGTAACACGTTGTGCATTCTCGGGATAACATTTTCCTCCAACATGAAGTGGAAATCTTATATTGAGTCAAATGCTAGGCCCACGTCCAGGAAAGTTGATTGACTATGCCGTGCTAGATAATGATTCTCTCCAAAATCCATCTTACAATTTTTTAAGACCATGTAGTTTATATTGCTGACAAATCTAGTCTGTTCCTCCTGCTATACATTTAGATATTCTTGATAAAATCAAAAGAATAATCTACAAGGTGGTGAGAAAATCTTGTAACCTCTACGAAAAAGTACCGAAAGCAACAGAACAAGTCATATTAGTAATACAAAGTACATGTACTAGATTCAGTTTTATTCACTTTCATTGACGTTGTTACACATCGAAAAGGTCTGTCTGAAGAGCATCATTTTCCTGTCAGAACATCTGAAATTGAAAATTGTAAGGAGGAAGCATCAGCTTTTTCTAAAGAACAACTGCTTTATAAAAGACTAGCAGCATGGCCCGGCGTTTCCCGTGCTTGATTCAAAAATCGTACGACTCATACAGGAATCGCTATCACTTGACTTAAAACATTTTTGGCCCTTCCTTGCCTTTAAAGGAGTGCCCTTTGCCGTGCTGATGTTGCTACATGCCTTACTTCTTGCCTATCTCACATTGCGAATTTTTACTAAGCTCTATACTAAACATTAAATCTGTTACGAAAAAAGAACTAAACAAAATGAACACAAAACGATCAGCTTTAAAAAAAAAAAGGACTCGTAACTGGAAAAAGCGAATGAAAAAAGAATGTTAACAACAAATACTTTTTCACAACCAACCCAGTTCTACGGAATCAGAATCAACGTTGAGTTTAAGCAAGCGAATGAGCCAATTGGGGTAAAGTGCCATGCAGATTTAAATTTTTCCCATTTGTGATGAATGCAGCTATCGATTTTTTTGCATGCTAGCATGCTAGTTAACATTCGTGTCAGTTAGCTGTTGGCTCTCACGCTGGCCAATAGAATCTTCCTGCCTATTCGTGGCCGCCAGCTATAGGCTCTCACTCTGGCCAGTACAAAATGGCCGCAAACTAGATGAAAACTGCCGTAGAAGCATGAAAAATCGATTATTTCCACTATCGATGGAAGTTAGGTAATGCAAAGTCGGTGTTGGCCTTTTCGCTAACTTGGAGCATTTGCATGTAAATTTTGGTGCAAATCCGTCGAAAATTGCGGCCGTGCATTTGTTACACACACACACACACACACACACACACACACACACACACACACACACACACACACACACACATCCTGCCTTTTATAGATAGAGATATTCTAACGTGGATGATTCTCTGAACATTACAATCTTATTGTATAGGGTGCACCGGAAGCCTTGTCCCCCCCACCTACCAAAAAGTAATGAGAACAATAGAAGTACAAGTAATACAGTTAAAAAAAGCAGATGTACTGGGTTCAGTTTATTTATTTTCATTGAAGCTGTCACACATCGTAAAGGTGTGTATGATCACCATCATTTTCGTGTCAACCATCCAGAAAATTATATTACTTAGGGGTGAGAAGATTTTCGGATCGGATCGGACTGTATAATGTAAATATATTGCTAATGATTGTCTACAGAATTCTCTGGCAAAAAAAAAAAAAAAAACAATGCGGAAAGGAAGAAGATAGAAAAGGGCAAAATATTGGGAAGCAAAAGGTATACAGGGTGGTCCGAAAGTCTTGTCACCGCTACTAAAATTAATAAGAACAATAGAACAAGTAACACAGTAATACAAATGGTGATTCAGTTTATCAACTTACATTGACGATGTCACGCAACGAGAAGGTCGGTATGAACACCATAATTTTCGTGGCAACCATCTGAAATAGAAAATTATATTAAGTATGGGGTGACAAGACTTTTGGACCACACTATATACTACGTTATTGGTCCTGACGGGGCATCTCGGCTTCAGTCACTTTCCAATTTCCATAATGTAGCTTCTCTATACCTTTTCTATAAATACTTTCATTGTCATAGTTTTCATGAAATTTTCTCTATGGTACCCAGAATTTATGGATTTAAGCGCAGTACCATATTAACGGCAGGGTCTCATCATTATACATTTGAAATGGATAGATGTAACCGTAAGTTCTATGCTAACAGTTTCTTCTATTGGACTTCTTGCTTGTGGAACTCTTGTAATATAGAAGGTGGTCAGAAAGTCTTGTCACCCCCTACCAAAAAGTAATGCGAACAATTGAACAAGTAATACAGTAATACAAAGTACATATTCTGGATTCAGTTTTATTCCCTTTCATTGACGCTGTCACACATCGAGGAGGTCTGTATGAACACCGTCATATTCATGGCACCAAATGATACGGCTACATGTCCTGTGTGATATTTTACAAAGCTGAACGGTGTGCTTCATCTGATGGGCATTCTGGTATCTTTCATATAAAAGTCTCTCCTTGATATTGCTCACGGGGCGTCGAAGTAGAAAAATATATGATGTAGAGGTGGCAAAACTTTCGGAACACAGTGTACTATGTTATTGGTTCTGACCCGGCATCTCGCCTTCAGTGACTTTCGCGCTGTCGCGATATCGAATGTAGATTCTCTCTCTTATATATATATATATATATATATATATATATAATTATTTTAAGACATTTTTATGGTTATACATTCATTTTATAGATACAAATATTTAAGTAAATGCTCTATTTATAATAAACAGTATTAACAACATTTAAGACATTTTCATGTTTATACGTTTATGTGACGTCATTTGTTTACATTTGATACGCCCTGAGCAGATATGAATGTAAGTGATGGAAGGTTTAAGTTTAAAAGCAGTAAAATCGACCTTGATGATCGAACGATCCTCTGTGGCCCAATCGGTTAATGCACGTCAGGCTAAATGACGGTTTTGTATAGGATACAGGTTCGATTCCTGTCGGAGGCCGAATATTTTCTATGAAAATTTCTCCGACATTCAGGCCGGTAAATGTTGTCCACAACACTTTATATCTCTTCCTCTCTTTCCCCCTGTGTCTTTCTATCTTTCCGCCTCTGTTTCTTTCCCCCTCTTTCTGACTGCGTTCGTGCTAATTTATATTGCAGCTTTCTTTAAACAAACAATATTTGAAAAGATATTTTTGCCATTTTCAAAAAATATTTTCAAGTGAATATGATTTTTAAATATTTTGGCATATAAAAAATATTTTCAAGTTAATCTGATTTAAAAAAATAATAGAATTACATTTAAAAATACGGTTCCGTTTAAGCATAAAACAAAATGTAGCCTCAAGGTGTTGACTTCAATGTCCATTTTTATATTAGATATTTGATACTATTTACATTATTCGGACTATTGTCCTCATCTTAGTCGCCATATTTATTACAACGTTTCGGCCGCTGTACGCTACGGCCTTCTTCAGGTGGTTGGAATGTCAAACCGAACCCTTTATTTCACTCGCTGGAGTAGACTGTTCTCGTTCCATGTGCCATGTTTTTAATGGATGTCAGTTATCAGTTATCTCCTGTTAATTCCCCTCTCCAAGTTCTCCACTGCCTTAACCGGGTATTGAACTCACACTCTTTGGGTCCTGTCTTCAAGGACACATGGCACAGTGGATAAAGGCGTTGGTTTGATCCAGTGACAGGCAAACGTCATACCAACTGTTCCAACGAGTCTCGATGCTCCAAGTGATTCGATGAATTATTTAATTATATTTATCTCAAATCCTCCTAATTTCCATCACTTGTATATCCTGGCTTGAACCGGCTTTTAATGCTCTGGAAGGAGCGGCTTGGGGATAGTAGCCTTGGCTCGTGGGAACACATCGTATGGGTAAAAGAGAAACAGAATATATAATCGACCGGCGCTATACTGAGTTATTCGCTGCCTCTTCATCACCGAGGCTCAGTTGGTATGACGTTTGCCTGATAACGTAACTGTCCGGGTTTCAAATTCTCGGTAGTGGATGTCCACTGCTGATGAGTCACAAATATAGAACGAAACGGCTGTCCAGTTCATTCTGTTGAAATTTCTTCTAGACTAGATCAATTACTTAATTATAATTATCTCGAATCCTCCTAATTTCTATCACACACACACACACACACACATATATATATATATAATAATTTATTTAAAAATATGATTTCAACGCTACATAAGAGTTCTCATGTTTCAAAACAAGAGCCGAAAACTTCAATCTAATTATTTGAATTAAAGTACCAAGCTCTGTTCCATCTTCAAACGAAACTTGGTAATTTAATGCAAATAATTATATTGAAGTTTTTGGCTCTTGTTTTGAAACATGAGAACACTTATGTAGCGTTGGAATCATATTTTTAAATAAATTATTATATTATGCTCTACTTTTGTATCGAGCACTATTTTAAAAAAATAATAACAAAAATACTAAAGAACTTTGGATTATTTACCTAACGAGATCTTTCCTAATTTCTATATATTTTTACACACACACACACACACACACACATACACACACACATATATATATAAACACGTATCATAGTGAAAGTAATGTTTCCTACTTGGGTATGTTGGCCGACGCCGCCAGAGAAGTATGCCGGTGTTACAGCAATAGAATCTGAACCTTCCTCTCAATCAGCCATCATATATATTCACATGTTATAGCAGAGTGGTAGTTTGGTAAAACGGGTCTGACAAGAAAATGGGTGAATGCGTCACTGACTACATTGCAGTACGCCGAAGATTACGGAGACACGGAGATCAAAATTTGCATCTGTCTATATTTCTGAGATGAGGAATTATGATGATTTACATTATTTACATTATTCGGATTGTTATCATACATGGCTCAGTGGCTAAGACGTTGGCTAGATTCAATAAGTGAATCCAAAGAGTTGTGAGTTCAATACAGTGGTGAACCAAAAACTTGGAGAGTTGTGTTAAATTAATTCAAGTTAATTAACCTATACCTGAGGGTAGAAGAGGTGGATCAATACAGCTGAAGTTTCTGGGACACATAATGAGGAAGAAGGGCCTGGAGAATCTGATACTCACGGGTCGAATAGAGAGAAAGAGAGGGAAGAGGCAGCTGGGGTTTCTGGGACACATAATAAGGAAGGAGGGCCTGGAGAATCTGATACTCACGGGTCGAATAGAGAGAAAGAGAGGGAAGAGCAGCTGGAGTTTCTGGGACACATAATGAGGAAAGAGGGCCTGAAGAATCTGATACTCACGGGTCGAATAGAGGGAAAGAGATTGAAGTGGCAGCTGAAGTTTCTGGGACACATAATGAGGAAGGAGGGCCTGAAGAATCTGATACTCACGGGTCGAATAGTGGGAAAGAGAGGGAAGAGGCAGCTGGAGTTTCTGGGACACATAATGAGGAAGGAGGGCCTGGAGAATCTGATACCACGGGTCGAATAGAGGGAAAGAGAGGGAAGAGGCAGCTGGAGTTTCTGGGACATAAAAAGGAAGGAGGGCCTGGAGAATCTGATACTCACGAGTCATGAAGAGAGAAAGAGAGGGAAGAGGCAGCTGGAGTTTCTGGGGACACATATAAGGAAGGAGGGCCTGGAGAATCTGATACTCACGAGTCGAATAGAGAGAAAGAGAGGAAGAGGCAGCTGAGTTTCTGGGACACATAATAAGGAAGGAGGGCCTGGAGAATCTGATACTCACGGCTCGAATAGAGGGAAAGAGAGGAAAAGAGGCAGCTGGAGTTTCTGGGACACATAATAAGGAAGGAGGGCCTAGAGAATCTGAAACTCACGGGTCGAATAGAGGGAAAGAGAGGAAGAGGCAGCTGGAGTTTCTGGGACACAGAAAAAAGGAAGGAGGGCCTGGAGAATCTGATAACACGGGTCGAATAGAGGGAAAGAGAGGAAGAGGCAGCTGGAGTTTCTGGGACACATAAAAAAGGAAGGAGGGCCTTAGAATCTGATACATTTTCACGATTCGAATAGAGAGAAAGGAGGGAAGAGGCAGCTGGAAGTTTCTGGGACACATAAAAAGGAAGGAGGGCCTGGAGAATCTGATACTCACACGAGTCGAATAGAGAGAAAGAGAGGAAGAGGCAGCTGGAGTTTCTGGGACACATAATAAGGAAGGAGGGCCTGGAGAATCTGATACTCACGGGTCGAATAGAGGGAAAGAGAGGAAGAGGCTGCTGGAGTTTCTGGGACACATAAAAAGGAAGGAGGGCCTGGAGAATCTGATACTCACGGGTCGAATAGAGGGAAAGGAGGAAGAGGCAGCTGGAGTTTCTGGGACACATAAAAAGGAAGGAGGGCCTGGAGAATCTGATACTCACGAGTCGAATAGGAGAGAAAGAGAGGGAAGAGGCAGCTGGAGTTTCTGGGACACAAAAAAGGAAGGAGGGGCTGGAGAATCTGATACTCACGATTCGAATAGAGAAAGGGAGGAAGAGGCAGCTGAAGTTTCTGGGACACATAAAAAAGGAAGGAGGGGCCTGGAGAATCTGATACTCACGAGTCGAATAGAGAGAAAGAGAGGGAAGAGGCAGCTGGAGTTTCTGGGACACATAATAAGGAAGGAGGGCCTGGAGAATCTGATACTCACGGGTCGAATAGAGGGAAAGAGAGGGAAGAGGCAGCTGGAGTTTCTGGGACACAAAAAAAAGGAAGGAGGGCCTGGAGAATCTGATACTCACGGGTCGAATAGAGGGAAAGAGAGGGAAGAGGCAGCTGGAGTTTCTGGGACACATAAAAAGGAAGGAGGGCCTGGAGAATCTGATACTCACGGGTCGAATAGAGGGAAAGAGAGGGAAGAGGCAGCTGGAGTTTCTGGGACACATAAAAAGGAAGGAGGGCCTGGAGAATCTGATACTCACGAGTCGAATAGAGAGAAAGAGAGGGAAGAGGCAGCTGGAGTTTCTGGGACACATAATAAGGAAGGAGGGCCTGGAGAATCTGATACTCACGGGTCGAATAGAGGGAAAGAGAGGGAAGAGGCAGCTGGAGTTTCTGGGACACATAAAAAGGAAGGAGGGCCTGGAGAATCTGATACTCACGAGTCGAATAGAGAGAAAGAGAGGAAGAGGCAGTTTCTGGGACACATAATAAGGAAGGAGGGCCTGGAGAATTTCTGGGACAGAGAAAGAAGGAAGAGGAGGGTTTCTGGGACATAAAAAGGAAGGAGGGCCTGGAGAATCTATGATACTCACGGGTCGAATAGAGAGAAAGAGAGGGAAGAGGCAGCTGGAGTTTCTGGGACACATAATTTCTGAGGACACATCGAATAGAGGAAAGAGAGGAAGAGGCCTGGAGTTTCTGGGACACATAAAAAGGAAGGACTGGAGAATCTGAGAGTCGAATAGAGAGAAAGAGAGGGAAGAGGCAGCTGGAGTTTCTGGGACACATAATAAGGAAGGAGGGCCTGGAGAATCTGATACTCACGGGTCGAATAGAGGGAAAGAGAGGGAAGAGGCAGCTGGAGTTTCTGTGACACATAATAAGGAAGGAGGGCCTGGAGAATCTGATACTCACGTTCGAATAGAGGGAAAGAGAGGGAAGAGGCAGCTGAAGTTTCTGGGACACTAAAGAGGAAGGAGGGCCTGGAGAATCTGATACTCACGGGTCGAATAGAGAGGGAAAGAGAGGAAGAGGCAGCTGGAGTTTCTGGGACACATAATAAGGAAGGAGGGCCTGAAGAATCTGATACTCACGGGTCGAATAGAGGGAAAGAGAGGAAAGAGGCAGCTGGAGTTTCTGGGACACATAATAAGGAAGGAGGGCCTGGAGAATCTGATACTCACGGGTCGAATAGAGGGAAAGAGAGGGAAGAGGCAGCTGGAGTTTCTGGGACACATAAAAAGGAAGGAGGGCCTGGAGAATCTGATACTCACGGGTCGAATAGAGGGAAAGAGAGGGAAGAGGCAGCTGGAGTTTCTGGGACACATAAAAAGGAAGGAGGGCCTGGAGAATCTGATACTCACGAGTCGAATAGAGAGAAAGAGAGGGAAGAGGCAGCTGGAGTTTCTGGGACACATAATAAGGAAGGAGGGCCTGGAGAATCTGATACTCACGAGTCGAATAGAGAGAAAGAGAGGGAAGAGGCAGCTGGAGTTTCTGGGACACATAAAAGAGGAAGGAGGGCCTGGAGAATCTGATATACGGGTCGAATAGAGGGAAAGAGAGGGAAGAGGCAGCTGAAGTTTCTGGGACACATAAAAAGGAAGAAGGGCCTGGAGAATCTGATACTCACGGGTCGAATAGAGGGAAAGAGAGGGAAGAGGCAGCTGGAGTTTCTGGGACACATAAAAAGGAGGGAGGGCCTGGAGAATCTGATACTCACGAGTCGAATAGAGGGAAAAGAGGGAAGAGGCAGCTGGAGTTTCTGGGACACATAATAAGGAAGGAGGGCCTGGAGAATCTGATACTCACGGGTCGAATAGAGTAAAAAGAGAGGGAAGAGGCAGCTGGAGTTTTGGGACACATAATAAGGGGACCATAAATTCACGGGGAAGAAAAAGGAGGAAGAGGAGAAGTTTCTGGGACTGAGAATCTGATACTCACGGGTCGAATAGAGGAAAGAGAGGGAAGAGGCAGCTGAAGTTTCTGGGACACATAAAAAGGAAGGAGGGCCTGGAGAATCTGATACCCACGGGTCGAAAAAGAGGGAAAGAGAGGGAAGAGGCAGCTGGAGTTTCTGGGACACATAAAAAGGAAGGAGGGCCTGGAGAATCTGATACTCACGGGTCGAATAGAGGGAAAGAGAGGGAAGAGGTTTCTGGGACACTGGAGTTTCTGATACTCACGGGGAGAGGGAAAGAGAGGGAAGACATAATAAGGAAGGAAGAGGGCCTGGAGAATCTGATACTCACGGGTCGAATAGAGGGAAAGAGAGGGAAGAGGCAGCTGAAGTTTCTGGGACACATAAAAAGGAAGGAGGGCCTGGAGAATCTGATACTCACGGGTCGAATAGAGGGAAAGAGAGGGAAGAGGCAGCTGGAGTTTCTGGGACACATAAAAGGAAGGAGGGCCTGGAGAATCTGATACTCACGGGTCGAATAGAGGGAAAGAGAGGGAAGAGGCAGCTGGAGTTTCTGGGACACACAAAGGAAAGAGGGCCTGGAGAATCTGATACCACGGGTCGAATAGAGGGAAAAGAGGGAAGAGGCAGCTGGAGTTTCTGGGACACATAAAAAGGAAGGAGGGCCTGGAGAATCTGATACTCACGGGTCGAATAGAGAAAGAGAGGGAAGAGGCAGCTGAAGTTTCTGGGACACATAAAAAGGAAGGAGGGCCTGGAGAATCTGATACCACAGGTCGAATAGAGGGAAAGAGAGGGAAGAGGCAGCTGGAGTTTCTGGGACATAATAAGGAAGGAGGGCCTGAAGAATCTGATACTCACGGGTCGAATAGAGGGAAAGAGAGGGAAGAGGCAGCTGGAGTTTCTGGGACACATAACGGAAAAAGGAAAGAGGGCCTGGAGAATCTGATACTCACGGGTCGAATAGAGGGAAAGAGAGGGAAGAGGCAGCTGGAGTTTCTGGGACACATAAAAGGAAGGAGGGCCTGGAGAATCTGATACTCACGGGTCGAATAGAGGGAAAGAGAGGGAAGAGGCAGCTGGAGTTTCTGGGACACATAAAAAGGAAAGAGGGCCTGGAGAATCTGATACCACGGGTCGAATAGAGGGAAAGAGAGGAAGAGGCAGCTGAAGTTTCTGGGGACATAAAAAGGAAGGAGGGCCTGGAGAATCTGATACTCACAGGTCGAATAGAGAGAAAGAGAGGGAAGAGGCAGCTGGAGTTTCTGGGACACATAATAAGGAAGGAGGGCCTGGAGAATCTGATACTCGAATAGAGGAAAGAGGGAAGAATGAGTTTCTGAGAAAGAGAGAAAAGAGAGGGAAGAGGCAGCTGGAGTTTCTGGGACACATAAAAAGGAAGGAGGGCCTGGAGAACACGGGTCGAATAGAGGGAAAGAGAGGGGCCTGAGAATCTGATACACAAAAGGAAAGACGGAGAATCTGAATACGGGTTGAATAGAGAGAAAGAGAGGAAGAGGCAGCTGGAGTTTCTGGGACACATAAAAGGAAGGAGGGCCTGGAGAATCTGATACTCACGGGTCGAATAGAGGGAAAGAGAGGTAAGAGGCAGCTGAAGTTTCTGGGACACATAATGAGGAAGGAGGGCCTGGAGAATCTGATACTCACGGGTCGAATAGAGAGAAAGAGAGGGAAGAGGCAGCTGGAGTTTCTGGGACACATAAAAAGGAAGGAGGGCCTGAGAATCTGATACCACGGGTCGAATAGAGGGAAAGAGAGGAAGAGGGGAAGAGTTTCTGGGACACATAAAAGGAAGGAGGGCCTGGAGAAGACGGGTCGAATAGAGGAAAGAGAGGGAAGAGGCAGCTGGAGTTTCTGGGACACATAATGAGGGAAGGAAGAGGCCTGGAGAATCTGATACCCACGGGTCGAATAGAGGGAAAGAGAGGGAAGAGGCAGCTGAAGTTTCTGGGACACATAATGAGGAAGGAGGGCCTGGAGAATCTGATACCCACGGGTCGAATAGAGGGAAAGAGAGGGAAGAGGCAGCTGAAGTTTCTGGGACACATAATGAGGAAGGAGGGCCTGGAGAATCTGATACTCACGGGTCGAATAGAGGGAAAGAGAGGAAGAGAGGGAAGAGGAAAGCCTGAAGAATCTGATTCTGGGAGGAACATAAGAAAGGAGGGCCTGGAGAATCTGATACTCACGGGTCGAATAGAGGAAAGAGAGGGAAGAGGCAGCTGGAGTTTCATTTAAAAGGAAGAGGGCCTGGAGAATCTGATACCACAGGGTCGAAAAGAAATAGAGAAGGAAGAGGCAGCTGAAGTTTCTGGGACATAATGAGGAAAGAGGGCCTGGAGAATCTGATATACGGGAGAGGAAAAGAGGGAAGAGGCAGCTGGAGTTTCTGGGACACATAATGAGGAAAGAGGGCCTGGAAAATCTGATACTCACAGGTCGAATAGAGAGAAAGAGAGGGAAGAGGCAGCTGGAGTTTCTGGGACACATAATGAGGAAAGAGGGCCTGGAGAATCTGATACTCACAGGTCGAATAGAGGGAAAGAGAGGGAAGAGGCAGCTGGAGTTTCTGGGACACATAAAGAGGAAAGGAGGGCCTGGAGAATCTGATACTCACGGGTCGAATAGAGGGAAAGAGAGGGAAGAGGCAGCTGGAGTTTCTGGGACACATAAAAAGGAAGGAGGGCCTGGAGAATCTGATACCACGGGTCGAATAGAGGGAAAGAGAGGGAAGAGGCAGCTGAGTTTCTGGGACACATAATGAGGAAGGAGGCCTGGAGAATCTGATACTCACGGGTCGAATAGAGGGAAAGAGAGGAAGAGGCAGCTGAAGTTTCTGGGACACATAAAAAGGAAGGAGGGCCTGGAGAATCTGATACCCACGGGTCGAATAGAGGGAAAGAGAGGGAAGAGGCAGCTGGAGTTTCTGGGACACATAAAAAGGAAGAGGGCCTGGAGAATCTGATACTCACGGGTCGAATAGAGGGAAAGAGAGGAAGAGGCAGCTGGAGTTTCTGGGACACATAATAAGGAAGGAGGGCCTGGAGAATCTGATACTCACGGGTCGAATAGAGGGAAAGAGAGGGAAGAGGCAGCTGAAGTTTCTGGGACACATAATGAGGAAAGAGGGCCTGGAGAATCTGATACTCACGGGTCGAATAGAGGGAAAGAGAGGGAAGAGGCAGCTGAAGTTTCTGAGACACATAATGAGGAAAGAGGTCCTGAAGAATCTGATACTCACAGGTTGAACAGAGTGAAAGAGAGGGAAGAGGCAGCTGAAGTTTCTGAGACACATAATGAGGAAAGAGGTCCTGAAGAATCTGATACTCACGGGTCGAATAGAGGGAAAGAGAGGGAAGAGGCAGCTGAAGTTTCTGAGACACATAAGGGAAAGGAAAGAGGTCCTGGAGAATCTGATGATACTCACGGGTCGAATAGAGGGAAAGAGAGGGAAGAGGCAGCTGGAGTTTCTGAGACACATAATGAGGAAGGAGGGCCTGGAGAATCTGATACTCACGGGTCGAATAGAGGGAAAGAGAGGAAGAGGCAGCTGGAGTTTCTGGGACACATAATGAGGAAAGAGGGCCTGGAGAATCTGATACTCACGGGTCGAATAGAGGGAAAGAGAGGGAAGAGGCAGCTGGAGTTTCTGGGACACATAAAGGAAAGAGGGCCTGGAGAATCTGATACCACGGGTCGAATAGAGGGAAAGAGAGGGAAGAGGCAGCTGAAGTTTCTGGGACACATAATGAGGAAAGGAGGGCCTGAGAATCTGATACTCACAGGTCGAATAGAGGGAAAGAGAGGAAGAGGCAGCTGGAGTTTCTGGGACACATAATGAGGAAAGAGGGCCTGGAGAATCTGATACTCACGGGTCGAATAGAGGGAAAGAGAGGGAAGAGGCAGCTGGAGTTTCTGGGACACATAAAAAGGAAAAGGGCCTGGAGAATCTGATACCACGGGTCGAATAGAGGGAAAGAGAGGGAAGAGGCAGCTGAAGTTTCTGGGACACATAATGAGGAAAGAGGTCCTGAAGAATCTGATACCTCACGGGTCGAATAGAGGGAAAGAGAGGAAGAGGCAGCTGGAGTTTTGGGACATACATAATGAGGAAAGAGGTCCTGGAGAATCTGATACTCACGGGTCGAATAGAGGAAAGAGGGGAAGAGGGAGTTTCTGGGACACTGAGGAAGGAGGTCCTGAAGAATCTGATACTCACGGGTCGAATAGAGGGAAAGAGAGGGAAGAGGCAGCTGAAGTTTCTGGGACACATAATGAGGAAAGAGGGCCTGGAGAATCTGATACCACGGGTCGAATAGAGAGGAAAGAGAGGGAAGAGGCAGCTGGAAGTTTCTGGGACACATAATGAGGAAAGAGGGCCTGGAGAATCTGATACCACGGGTCGAATAGAGGGAAAGAGAGGAAGAGGCAGCTGAAGTTTCTGGGACACATAATGAGGAAAGAGGGCCTGGAGAATCTGATACTCACGGGTCGAATAGAGGGAAAGAGAGGGAAGAGGCAGCTGAAGTTTCTGGGACATAATGAGGAAGGAGGGCCTGGAGAATCTGATACTCACGGGTCGAATAGAGGGAAAGAGAGGGAAGAGGCAGCTGAAGTTTCTGGGACACATAATGAGGAAGGAGGTCCTGGAGAATCTGATACCACGAGGTCGAATAGAGGAAAGAGAGGGAAGAGGCAGCTGAAGTTTCTGGGACACATAATGAGGAAAGAGGGCCTGGAGAATCTGATACTCACGGGTCGAATAGAGGAAAGAGAGGGAAGAGGCAGCTGGAGTTTCTGGGACACATAATGAGGAAAGAGGTCCTGAAGAATCTGATACTCACGGGTCGAATAGAGGAAAAAGAGAGGGAAGAGGCAGCTGGAGTTTCTGGGACACATAATGAAGGAAAGAGGGCCTGGAGAATCTGATACTCACGGGTCGAATAGAGGGAAAGAGAGGGAAGAGGCAGCTGGAGTTTCTGGGACACATAATGAGGAAGGAGGGCCTGAGAATCTGATACTCACGGGTCGAATAGAGAAAGAGAGGAAGAGGCAGCTGAAGTTTCTGGGACACATAATGAGGAAGGAGGGCCTGGAGAATCTGATACCCACGGGTCGAATAGAGAGGAAAGAGAGGAAGAGGCAGCTGAAGTTTCTGGGACACATAATGAGGAAAGAGGGCCTGGAGAATCTGATACTCACGGGTCGAATAGAGGGAAAGAGAGGGAAGAGGCAGCTGAAGTTTCTGGGACACATAAAAAGGAAGGAGGGCCTGGAGAATCTGATACTCACGGGTCGAATAGAGGGAAAGAGAGGGAAGAGGCAGCTGAAGTTTCTGGAGACACATAATGAGGAAAGAGGGCCTGGAGAATCTGATACCACGGGTCGAATAGAGGGAAAGAGAGGGAAGAGGCAGCTGAAGTTTTGGGGAGACATAATGAGGAAAGAGGTCCTGAAGAATCTGATACTCACGGGGTCGAATAGAGGGAAAGAGAGGAAGAGGCAGCTGAAGTTTCTGGGACACATAATGAGGAAAGAGGGCCTGAAGAATCTGATACCACGGGTCGAATAGAGGGAAAGAGAGGGAAGAGGCAGCTGAAGTTTCTGGGACACATAATGAGGAAAGAGGTCCTGGAGAATCTGATACCACTGGGTTGAATAGAGGGAAAGAGAGGGAAGAGGCAGCTGGAGTTTCTGAGACACATAATGAGGAAAGAGGTCCTGAAGAATCTGATACTCACGGTCGAATAGAGGAAAGAGAGGGAAGAGGCAGCTGGAAGTTTCTGGGACAAATAATGAGGAAAGAGGGCCTGAGAATCTGATACTCACGGGTCGAATAGAGGGAAAGAGAGGAAGAGGCAGCTGGAGTTTCTGAGACACATAATGAGGAAAGAGGGCCTGGAGAATCTGATACCCACGGGTCGAATAGAGGAAAGAGAGGGAAGAGGCAGCTGAAGTTTCTGAGACACATAATGAGGAAAGAGGGCCTGAAGAATCTGATACTCACGGGTCGAATAGAGGGAAAGAGAGGGAAGAGGCAGCTGAAGTTTCTGGACACATAATGAGGAAAGAGGGCCTGAAGAATCTGATACTACACGGGTCGAATAGAGAAAGAGGAAAGAGAGGGGAAGAAGGCAGCAGAAGTTTTGGGACACATAATGAGGAAAGAGGGCCTGGAAGAATCTGATACCACGGGTCGAATAGAGGAAAAGAGAGGGAAGAGGCAGCTGAAGTTTCTGGGACACATAATGAGGAAGGAGGGCCTGAAGAATCTGATACTCACGGGTCGAATAGAGAGGGAAAGAGAGGGAAGAGGCAGCTGAAGTTTCTGGGACACATAATGAGGAAGAGGGCCTGGAGAATCTGATACCACGGGTCGAATAGAGGGAAAGAGAGGGAAGAGGCAGCTGGAAGTTTCTGGGACACATAATGAGGAAGGAGGGCCTGGAGAATCTGATACTCACGGGTCGAAATAGAGGGAAAGAGAGGGAAGAGGCAGCTGAAGTTTCTGGGACACATAATGAGGAAGGAGGGCCTGGAGAATCTGATACCAACGGGTCGAATAGAGGGAAAGAGAGGGAAGAGGCAGCTGGAAGTTTCTGAGACACATAATGAGGAAGGAGGGCCTGAGAATCTGATACCCACGGGTCGAATAGAGGGAAAGAGAGGGAAGAGGCAGCTGGAGTTTCTGGGACACATAATGAGGAAAGAGGGCCTGAAGAATCTGATACCCACAGGTCGAAAGAGAGGAAAGAGAGGAAGAGGCAGCTGAAGTTTCTGAGACACATAATGAGGAAAGAGGGCCTGGAGAATCTGATACCACGGGTCGAATAGAGGAAAGAGAGGGAAGAGGCAGCTGGAAGTTTCTGGGACACATAATGAGGAAAGAGGGCCTGGAGAATCTGATACTCACGGGTCGAATAGAGGGAAAGAGAGGAAGAGGCAGCTGAAGTTTCTGGGACACATAATGAGGAAAGAGGCCTGGAGAATCTGATACTCACGGGTCGAATAGAGGGGAAAGAGAGGGAAGAGGCAGCTGAAGTTTCTGGGACACATAATGAGGAAAGAGGTCCCTGAAGAATCTGATACCACGGGTCGAATAGAGGAAAGAGAGGGAAGAGGCAGCTGAAGTTTCTGGAGACACATAATGACGGGGAAAGAGGTCCTGAAGAATCTGATACTCACGGGTTGAATAGAGGGGAAGAGAGGGAAGAGGCAGCTGAAGTTTCTGGGACACATAATGAGGAAAGAGGGCCCTGAGAATCTGATACTCACGGGTCGAATTGAGGGAAAGAGAGGGAAGAGGCAGCTGATGTTTCTGGGACACATAATGAGGAAATAAGGCCTGGAGAATCTGATACCCACGGGTCGAATAGACGGAAAGAGAGGGAAGAGGCAGCTGAAGTTTCTGGGACACATAATGAGGAAGGAGGGCCTGGATAAACTGATACCCACGGGTCGAATAGAGGGAAAGAGAGGGAAGAGGCAGCTGAAGTTTCTGAGACACATAATGAGGAAAGAGGTCCTGAAGAATCTGATACCCACGGGTCGAATAGAGGGAGGGAAAGAGAGGGAAGAGGCAGCTGAAGTTTCTGGGACACATAATGAGGAAAGAGGGCCTGAGAATCTGATACTACGGGTCGAATAGAGGGAAAGAGAGGGAAGAGGCAGCTGAAGTTTCTGAGACACATAATGAGGAAAGAGGTCCTGAAGAATCTGATACCCACGGGTCGAATAGAGGGAAAGAGAGGGAAGAGGCAGCTGAAGTTTCTGAGACACATAATGAGGAAAGAGGTCCTGGAGAATCTGATACTCACGGGTCGAATAGAGGGAAAGAGAGGGAAGAGGCAGCTGAAGTTTCTGAGACACATAATGAGGAAAGAGGTCCTGAAGAATCTGATACTCACGGGTCGAATAGAGGGAAAGAGAGGGAAGAGGCAGCTGAAGTTTCTGGGACACATAATGAGGAAAGAGGTCCTGAAGAATCTGATACTCACGGGTCGAATAGAGGGAAAGAGAGGGAAGAGGCAGCTGAAGTTTCTGGGACACATAATGAGGAAAGAGGGCCTGGAGAATCTGATACTCACATGTTGAACAGAGTGAAAGAGAGGGAAGAGACAGCTGAAGTTTCTGGGACACATAATGAGGAAATAGGGCCTGGAGAATCTGATACCCACGGGTCGAATAGACGGAAAGAGAGGGAAGAGGCAGCTGAAGTTTCTGGGACACATAATGAGGAAGGAGGGCCTGGAGAATCTGATACCCACGGGTCGAATAGAGGGAAAGAGAGGAAGAGGCAGCTGAAGTTTCTGGGACACATAATGAGGAAGAGGGCCTGGAGAATCTGATACCCACGGGTCGAATAGAGGGAAAGAGAGGAAGAGGCAGCTGAAGTTTCTGGGACACATAATGAGGAAGGAGGGCCTGGAGAATCTGATACCACGGGTCGAATAGAGGAAAGAGAGGGAAGAGGCAGCTGAAGTTTCTGGGACACATAATGAGGAAAGAGGGCCTGAGAATCTGATACTCACGGGTCGAATAGAGGGAAAGAGAGGAAGAGGCAGCTGAAGTTTCTGGGACACATAATGAGGAAAGAGGGCCTGGAGAATCTGATACCACGGGTCGAATAGAGGGAAAGAGAGGGAAGAGGCAGCTGAAGTTTCTGGGACACATAATGAGGAAAGAGGGCCTGGAGAATCTGATACCACGGGGGTCGAATAGAGAGGGAAAGAGAGGAAGAGGCAGCTGAAGTTTCTGGGACACATAATGAGGAAAGAGGGCCTGGAGAATCTGATACTCACGGGTCGAATAGAGGGAAAGAGAGGGAAGAGGCAGCTGAAGTTTCTGGGACACATAATGAGGAAAGAGGTCCTGAAGAATCTGATACTCACAGGTTGAACAGAGTGAAAGAGAGGGAAGAGGCAGCTGAAGTTTCTGGGACACATAATGAGGAAAGAGGGCCTGGAGAATCTGATACTCACGGGTCGAATAGAGGGAAAGAGAGGGAAGAGGCAGCTGAAGTTTCTGGGACACATAATGAGGAAAGAGGGCCTGGAGAATCTGATACCCACGGGTCGAATAGAGGGAAAGAGAGGGAAGAGGCAGCTGAAGTTTCTGGGACACATAATGAGGAAAGAGGGCCTGGAGAATCTGATACTCACGGGTCGAATAGAGGGAAAGAGAGGGAAGAGGCAGCTGAAGTTTCTGAGACACATAATGAGGAAAGAGGTCCTGAAGAATCTGATACCCACGGGTCGAATAGAGGGAAAGAGAGGGAAGAGGCAGCTGAAGTTTCTGAGACACATAATGAGGAAAGAGGTCCTGAAGAATCTGATACCCACGGGTCGAATAGAGGGAAAGAGAGGGAAGAGGCAGCTGAAGTTTCTGAGACACATAATGAGGAAAGAGGGCCTGAAGAATCTGATACTCACGGGTCGAATAGAGGGAAAGAGAGGAAGAGGCAGCTGAAGTTTCTGGACACATAATGAGGAAAGAGGGCCTGAAGAATCTGATACTCACGGGTCGAATAGAGGGAAAAGAGGGAAGAGGCAGCTGAAGTTTCTGGGACACATAATGAGGAAAGAGGGCCTGAAGAATCTGATACTCACAGGTTGAATAGAGTGAAAGAGAGGGAAGAGACAGCTGAAGTTTCTGGGACACATAATGAGGAAAGAGGTCCTGAAGAATCTGATACCACAGGTCGAATAGAGGGAAAGAGAGGAAGAGGCAGCTGAAGTTTCTGGGACACATAATGAGGAAAGAGGGCCTGGAGAATCTGATACCACAGGTCGAATAGAGGGAAAGAGAGGGAAGAGGCAGCTGAAGTTTCTGGGACACATAATGAGGAAAGAGGGCCTGGAGAATCTGATACCACGGGTCGAATAGAGGGAAAGAGAGGGAAGAGGCAGCTGAAGTTTCTGAGACACATAATGAGGAAAGAGGGCCTGGAGAATCTGATACCCACGGGTCGAATAGAGGGAAAGAGAGGGAAGAGGCAGCTGAAGTTTCTGAGACACATAATGAGGAAAGAGGGCCTGGAGAATCTGATACTCACGGGTCGAATAGAGGGAAAGAGAGGGAAGAGGCAGCTGAAGTTTCTGGGACACATAATGAGGAAAGAGGGCCTGGAAGAATCTGATACCACGGGTCGAATAGAGGAAAGAGAGGGAAGAGGCAGCTGAAGTTTCTGGGACACATAATGAGGAAAGAGGGCCTGGAGAATCTGATACTCACGGGTCGAATAGAGGGAAAGAGAGGAAGAGGCAGCTGAAGTTTCTGGGACACATAATGAGGAAAGAGGTCCTGAAGAATCTGATACCACGGGTCGAATAGAGAGGAAAGAGAGGGAAGAGGCAGCTGAAGTTTCTGGGACACATAATGAGGAAAGAGGGCCTGAGAATCTGATACCACGGGTCGAATAGAGGAAAGAGAGGGAAGAGGCAGCTGAAGTTTCTGAGACACATAATGAGGAAAGAGGTCCTGAAGAATCTGATACTCACGGGTCGAATAGAGGGAAAGAGAGGGAAGAGGCAGCTGAAGTTTCTGAGACCCATAATGAGGAAAGAGGTCCTGAAGAATCTGATACCACGGGTCGAATAGAGGGAAAGAGAGGGAAGAGGCAGCTGAAGTTTCTGGGACACATAATGAGGAAAGAGGTCCTGAAGAATCTGATACCCACGGGTCGAATAGAGGGAAAGAGAGGAAGAGGCAGCTGAAGTTTCTGAGACACATAATGAGGAAAGAGGTCCTGAAGAATCTGATACCCACGGGTCGAATAGAGGGAAAGAGAGGGAAGAGGCAGCTGAAGTTTCTGGGACACATAATGAGGAAAGGGCCTGGAGAATCTGATACTCACGGGTCGAATAGAGGAAAGAGAGGGAAGAGGCAGCTGAAGTTTCTGGGACATAATGAGGAAAGAGGGCCTGGAGAATCTGATACCCAAGGGTCGAATAGAGGGAAAGAGAGGAAGAGGCAGCTGAAGTTTCTGGGACACATAATGAGGAAGGAGGGCCTGGAGAATCTGATACCCACGGGTCGAATAGAGGGAAAGAGAGGAAGAGGCAGCTGAAGTTTCTGGGACACATAATGAGGAAGGAGGGCCTGGAGAATCTGATACTCACGGGTCGAATAGAGGGAAAGAGAGGAAGAGGCAGCTGAGTTTTCTGAGACACATAATGAGGAAAGAGGCCTGAAGAATCTGATACTCACGGGTCGAATAGAGGAAAGAGAGGAAGAGGCAGCTGGAAGTTTCTGGGACACATAATGAGGAAAGAGGGCCTGAAGAATCTGATACCACGGGTCGAATAGAGAGAGGGAAAGAGAAGTTTCTGGGGAAGAGGGCAGGAGAAGATTTCGAATGAGGGGAGAGGACATAATGACATAACGAAAGAGGGCCTGGAGAATCTGATACCACGGGTCGAATAGAGGGAAAGAGAGGGAAGAGGCAGCTGAAGTTTCTGAGACACATAATGAGGAAAGAGGTCCTGAAGAATCTGATACCACGGGTCGAATAGAGGGAAAGAGAGGAAGAGGCAGCTGAAGTTTCTGGGACACATAATGAGGAAAGAGGGCCTGAAGAATCTGATACCACGGGTCGAATAGAGGGAAAGAGAGGGAAGAGGCAGCTGAAGTTTCTGGGACACATAATGAGGAAAGAGGGCCTGGAGAATCTGATACTCACGGGTCGAATAGAGGGAAAGAGAGGGAAGAGGCAGCTGAAGTTTCTGAGACACATAATGAGGAAGGAGGGCCTGGAGAATCTGATACCACGGGTCGAATAGAGGGAAAGAGAGGGAAGAGGCAGCTGGAAGTTTCTGGGACACATAATGAGGAAAGAGGGCCTGGAGAATCTGATACCCACGGGTCGAATAGAGGGGGAAAGAGAGGAAGAGGCATAGAGGGAAAGAGAGGGAAGAGGAAGTTTCTGGAGACACATAATGAGGAAAGAGGGCCTGGAGAATCTGATACTCACGGGTCGAATAGCGGGAAAGAGAGGGAAGAGGCAGCTGAATTTTCTGAGACACATAATGAGGAAAGAGGGCCTGAAGAATCTGATACCCACGGGTCGAATAGAAGAAAAGAGAGGGAAGAGGCAGCTGAAGATTCTGAGACACATAATGAGGAAAGAGGACCTAGAGAATCTGATACCACGGGTCGAATAGAGGAAAGAGAGGGAAGAGGCAGCTGAAGTTTCTGGAGACACATAATGAGGAAAGAGGGCCTGAAGAATCTGATACTCACATGTTGGGTCAGAGGTCGAATAGAGGGAGAAGAGAGGGGGAAGAGGCAGCTGGGAAGTTTCTGAGACACATAAAAAGGAAAGAGGTCCTGAAGAATCTGATACTCCACGGGTCGAATAGAGGGAAAGAGAGGGAAGAGGCAGCTGAAGTTTCTGGGACACATAATGAGGAAAGAGGGCCTGGAGAATCTGATACTCACGGGTCGAATAGAGGAAAGAGAGGAAGAGGCAGCTGAAGTTTCTGAGACACATAATGAGGAAAGAGGTCCTGAAGAATCTGATACTCACGGGTCAGAATAGAAGAGGAAGAGGGGAAAGACACATAATGAGGAAAGAGGCTGAAGCTGGAGTTTCTGGACACATAATGAGGAAAGAGGTCCTGAAGAATCTGATACTCACGGGTCGAATAGAGGGAAAGAGAGGGAAGAGGCAGCTGATGTTTCTGAGACACATAATGAGGGAAGAGGTCCTGAAGAATCTGATACTCACAGGTTGAATAGAGTGAAAGAGAGGGAAGAGGCAGCTGAAGTGTCTGGGACACATAATGAGGAAAGAGGGCCTGGAGAATCTGATACTCACAGGTTGAAGAGAGGGAAAGAGAGGGAAGAGACAGCTCAAGTTTCTGGGACACATAATGAGGAAATAAGGCCTGGAGAATCTGATACCCACGGGTCGAATAGACGGAAAGAGAGGGAAGAGGCAGCTGAAGTTTCTGGGACACATAATGAGGAAGGAGGGCCTGGATAAACTGATACCCACGGGTCGAATAGAGGGAAAGAGAGGGAAGAGGCAGCTGAAGTTTCTGAGACACATAATGAGGAAAGAGGGCCTGGAGAATCTGATACTCACGGGTCGAATAGAGGGAAAGAGAGGGAAGAGGCAGCTGAAGTTTCTGGGACACATAATGAGGAAAGAGGGCCTGGAGAATCTGATACTCACGGGTCGAATAGAGGGAAAGAGAGGGAAGAGGCAGCTGAAGTTTCTGGGACACATAATGAGGAAAGAGGGCCTGGAGAATCTGATACCCACGGGTCGAATAGAGGGAAAGAGAGGGAAGAGGCAGCTGAAGTTTCTGGGACACATAATGAGGAAGGAGGTCCTGAAGAATCTGATACTCACGGGTCGAATAGAGGAAAAGAGGGAAGAGGCAGCTGAAGTTTCTGGGACACATAATGAGGAAAGAGGTCCCTGAAGAATCTGATACTCACAGGTCGAATAGAGAATAGAAAGAGAGGAAGAGGCAGCTGAAGTTTCTGGGACACATAATGAGGAAAGAGGGCCTGGAGAATCTGATACCACGGGTCGAATAGAGGGAAAGAGAGGGAAGAGGCAGCTGAAGTTTCTGGGACACATAATGAGGAAAGAGGTCCTGGAGAATCTGATACCACGGGTCGAATAGAGGGAAAGAGAGGAAGAGGCAGCTGAAGTTTCTGGGACACATAATGAGGAAAGAGGTCCTGAAGAATCTGATACCACGGGTCGAATAGAGGAAAGAGAGGAAGAGGCAGCTGAAGTTTCTGGGACACATAATGAGGAAAGAGGGCCTGAAGAATCTGATACCCACGGGTCGAATAGAGGGAAAGAGGAAGGAAAGAGAGGAAGAGGCATAGAGGGGAGGAAGAGGGACACATAATGAGGAAAGAGGTCCTGAAGAATCTGATACCCACAGGTTGAAAGAGGAAAGAGAGGGAAGAGGCAGCTGAAGTTTCTGGGACACATAATGAGGAAAGAGGGCCTGAGAATCTGATACCACGGGTTGAATAGAGGGAAAGAGAGGGAAGAGGCAGCTGAAGTTTCTGGGACACATAATGAGGAAAGAGGGCCTGGAGAATCTGATACTCACGGGTCGAATAGAGGGAAAGAGAGGAAGAGGCAGCTGAAGTTTCTGGGACACATAATGAGGAAAGAGGGCCTGGAGAATCTGATACCCACGGGTCGAATAGAGGGAAAGAGAGGGAAGAGGCAGCTGAAGTTTCTGAGACACATAATGAGGAAGGAGGGCCTGAGAATCTGATACTCACGGGTCGAATAGAGGAAAGAGAGGGAAGAGGCAGCTGGAAGTTTCTGAGACACATAATGAGGAAAGAGGTCCTGAAGAATCTGATACTCACGGGTCGAATAGAGGAAGAGAGGGAAGAGGCAGCTGAAGTTTCTGGGACACATAATGAGGAAAGAGGGCCTGGAGAATCTGATACTCACGGGTCGAATAGAGGGAAAGAGAGGAAGAGGTTTCTGAGACACATAATGAGGAAAGAGGTCCTGAAGAATCTGATACTCACGGGGAATAGAGGGAAAGAGAGGAAGAGGAGGTTTCCTGGAGACATAATGAGGAAAGAGGGCTGAAGTTTCTGAGAATCTGATACCACAGGTCGAATAGAGGGAAAGAGAGGGAAGAGGCAGCTGAAGTTTCTGGGACACATAATGAGGAAAGAGGGCCTGGAGAATCTGATACTCACGGGTCGAAAGAGGAAAGAGAGGGAAGAGGCAGCTGAAGTTTCTGGGACACATAATGAGGAAGGAGGGCCTGGAGAATCTGATACTCACGGGTCGAATAGAGGGAAAGAGAGGAAGAGGCAGCTGAAGTTTCTGAGACACATAATGAGGAAAGAGGGCCTGGAGAATCTGATACTCACGGGTCGAATAGAGGGGAAAGAGAGGGAAGAGGCAGCTGGAGTTTCTGGGACACATAATGAGGAAATTTTTCTGAGACACAGGTCGAATAGAGGAAAAGAGGGGAAGAAGCAGCTGGAGTTTCTGAGACACATGGGAATCTGATATCACAGGTCGAATAGAGGAAAGAGAGGGAAGAGGCAGCTGAAGTTTCTGAGACACATAATGAGGAAAGAGGGCCTGAAGAATCTGATACTCACGGGTCGAATAGAGGAAAGAGAGGGAAGAGGCAGCTGAAGTTTCTGAGACACATAATGAGGAAAGAGGGCCTGAAGAATCTGATACTCACGGGTCGAATAGAGGGAAAGAGAGGGGAAAGGCAGCTGAAGTTTCTGGGAGACATAATGAGGAAGGAGGGCCTGGAGAATCTGATACTCACGGGTCGAATAGAGGGAAAGAGAGGGAAGAGGCAGCTGAAGTTTCTGAGACACATAATGAGGTTTCCTGAAGAATCTGATACACAGGACGAATAGAGGAAAGAGAGGGAAGAGGCTGGAGTTTCTGGGACACATAAATGAGGAAGGAGGGCCTGGAGAATCTGATACCACGGGTCGAATAGAGGGAAAGAGAGGGAAGAGGCAGCTGAAGTTTCTGGGACACATAATGAGGAAGGAGGCCTGGAGAATCTGATACTCACGGGTCGAATAGAGAGGAAAGAGAGGGAAGAGGCAGCTGAAGTTTCTGGACACATAATGAGGAAGGAGGGCCTGGAGACCTGATACCCACAGGGTCGAAAGAGAGGAAAGAGAGGGAAGAGGCAGCTGAAGTTTCTGGGACACATAATGAGGAAGGAGGGCCTGGAGAATCTGATACCCACGGGTCGAATAGAGGGAAAGAGAGGAAGAGGCAGCTGGAGTTTCTGGGACACATAATGAGGAAAGAGGCCTGGAGAATCTGATACCCACGGGTCGAATAGAGGGAAAGAGAGGAAGAGGCAGCTGGAAGTTTCTGGGACACATAATGAGGAAAGAGGGCCTGAAGAATCTGATACTCACGGGTCGAATAGAGGGAAAGAGAGGGAAGAGGCAGCTGAAGTTTCTGGGACACATAAAATGAGGAAGGAGGGCCTGGAGAATCTGATACTCACGGGTCGAATAGAGGAAAGAGAGGGAAGAGGCAGCTGAAGTTTCTGGACACATAATGAGGAAAGAGGGCCTGGAGAATCTGATACTCACGGGTCGAATAGAGGGAAAGAGAGGGAAGAGGCAGCTGAAGTTTCTGGGACACATAAAAAGGAAAGAGGGCCTGGAGAATCTGATACTCACGGGTCGAATAGAGGAAAGAGAGGAAGAGGCAGCTGAAGTTTCTGGGACACATATAATGAGGAAAGAGGTCCTGAAGAATCTGATACCACGGGTCGAATAGAGGGGAAAGAGAGGGAAGAGGCAGCTGGAGTTTCTGGGACACATAATGAGGAAAGAGGGCCTGGAGAATCTGATACTACGGGGTCGAATAGAGAAAGAGAGGGAAGAGGCAGCTGAAGTTTCTGGGGACACATAATAAGGAAGGAGGGCCTGGAGAATCTGATACTCACGGGTCGAATAGAGGGGAAAGAGAGGGAAGAGGCAGCTGAAGTTTTGGGACACATAATGAGGAAGGAGGGCCTGGAGAATCTGATACCACGGGTCGAATAGAGGAAAGAGAGGAAGAGGCAGCTGAAGTTTCTGGGACACATAATGAGGAAAGAGGTCCTGGAGAATCTGATACCCACGGGTCGAATAGAGGAAAGAGAGGAAGAGGCAGCTGGAGTTTCTGAGACACATAATGAGGAAGGAGGTCCTGGAGAATCTGATACTCACGGGGTCGAATAGAGGGAAAGAGAGGGAAGAGGCAGCTGAAGTTTCTTGGGACACACAAAGGAAGGAGGGCCTGGAGAATCTGATACCCACGGGTCGAATAGAGGAAAGAGAGGGAAGAGGCAGCTGAAGTTTCTGGGACACAAAATGGAAGGAGGGCCTGGAGAATCTGATACCACAGGTCGAATAGAGGAAAGAGAGGGAAGAGGGACACATAATGAGGAAGCCTGAGAATCTGCTACGGGTCGAATAGAGGAAAGAGAGGAAGAGGCAGTGAAGTTTCTGGGACACATAATGAGGAAGGGAGGGCCTGGAGAATCTGATACTCACAGGTTGAATAGAGGGAAAGAGAGGGAAGAGGCAGCTGAAGTTTCTGGGACACATAAAAGGAAGGAGGTCCTGGAGAATCTGATACCCACGGGTCGAATAGAGGAAAGAGAGGAAGAGGCAGCTGAAGTTTCTGAGACACATAATAAGGAAGGAGGGCCTGGAGAATCTGATACTCACGGGTCGAATAGAGGGAAAGAGAGGGAAGAGGCATGGAGTTTCTGGGACACATAAAAGGAAGGAGGGCCTGGAGAACTGATACTCACGGGTGAATAGAGGGAAAGAGAGGGAAGAGGCAGCTGGAGTTTCTGGGACACATAAACGGGAAGAAGGGCCTGGAGAATCTGATACTGGGACACGGGTGGAGAATAGAGAGGAAAGAGAGGGAAGAGGCAGCTGGAGTTTCTGGGACACATAAAAGGAAGGAGGGCCTGGAGAATCTGATACTCACGGGTCGAATAGAGAGAAAGAGAGGAAGAGGCAGCTGGAGTTTCTGGGACACATAACGAGGGAAGGAGGGCCTGGAGAATCTGATACTCACAGGTCGAATAGAGAGAAAGAGAGGAAGAGGCAGCTGGAGTTTCTGGGACACAATAAGGAAGGAGGGCCTGGAGAATCTGATACCACGGGTCGAATAGAGAGAGGAAGAGGAAGAAGCTGGAGGGGACCCCACATAAAAAAAATAAGAGGAAGAGGAGTCGAATAGAGAGAAAAGAGAGGGAAGAGGACACAGCTGGAGTTTCTGGGACACATAATAAGGAAGGAGGGCCTGGAGAATCTGATACTCACAGGTCGAATAGAGAAAAGAGAGGAAAGAGTTTCTGGGACACATAAGAGGAAGCAGCTGGAATCTGATTTCTAGAGGGAAAAGAGGGACACATGGGACATAAGGAAGGAGGGCCTGGAGAATCTGATACTCACGGGTCGAATAGAGAGAAAGAGAGGGAAGAGGCAGCTGGAGTTTCTGGGACACATAATAAGGAAGGAGGGCCTGGAGAATCTGATACTCACGAGTCGAATAGAGAGAAAGAGAGGGAAGAGGCAGCTGGAGTTTCTGGGACACATAATAAGGAAGGAGGGCCTGGAGAATCTGATACTCACTGGTCGAATAGAGGGAAAGAGAGGGAAGAGGCAGCTGGAGTTTCTGGGACACATAAAAAGGAAGGAGGGCCTGGAGAAGCTGATACTCATGGGTCGAATAGAGGGAAAGAGAGGGAACAGGCAGCTGAAGTTTCTTGGACTCATAATGAGGAAGGAGGGCCTGGAGTATCTGATACTCACGGGTCGAATTGAGGGATAGAGAGGGAAGAGGCAGCTGGAGTTTCTGGGACACATAATAAGGAAGGAGGGCCTGGAGAATGTGACACTCACGGGTCGAATAGAGGGAAAGAGAGGGAAGAGTCAGCTGGTGTTTCTGGGACACATAATGAGGAAGGAGGGCCTGGAGAATCTGATACTCACGGGTCGAATAGAAGGAAAGTGAGGGAAGAGACAGCTGGAGTTTCTGGGACACATAATAAGGAAGGAGGGCCTGGAGAATGTGATACTCACGGGTCGAATAGTGGGAAAGAGAGGGAAGAGGCAGCTGAAGTTTCTGAGACACATAATGAGGAAAGAGGGCCCGGAGAATCTGATCCTCACGGGTCGAATAGAGGGAAAGAGAGGGAAGAGGCAGCTGCAGTTTCTGGGACACATAATAAGGAAGTAGGGCCTGGAGAATGTGATACTCACGGGTCGAATAGAGAGAAAAAGAGGGAAGAGGCAGCTAAAGTGTCTGGGACACATAATGTGGAAGAAGGGCCTGGAGTATCTGATACTCACGGGTCGAATAGAGGGAAAGTGAGGAAAGAGGCAGCTGGAGTTTCTGGGACATTTAATAAGGAATGAGGGCCTGGAGAATCTGATACTCACGGGTCGAATAGAGGGAAAGAGAGGTAAGAGGCAGCTCGAGTTTCTGGCACATAAAAAGAAAGAAAGTCGATTCTATGGCTGAACAATAAGTACGGAGAAGTAGTAAAATTAAAAGAAACATTTGTAAGAGCTACAAAGTATAGGGAGTTGTGAAGAGCCATGATTGCCTGCCTCCTGAAGTGCAACGACGCATACAAGAAGGATTTGGTCGATGCTATCGCAGAACAGGAAATGGTAAAGATAGGAAAAATGCGAAATATTGTGGAAAGCCACTATCGCCCACGTTCTGAAGTGACACAGCTCAGAAGAACGTAGTCGATATCATCTTCGACTGATTTGTTAAACTTGTAGGCGCTGTTGGAAAAAAAAAAAGATTGTTAAAATGGCAAATATAAAGACGAGTAAAAGGTGAAAGTAGTGCCTGTAATAATCAGTGGACTCAGATTCTTGATCGGATGGTTTAGTGATTAGTACAAGGATTTAGATTATCTGTCTCATAGCATTGACTAGCAGTAGAGCCCGGCGTTGCCCGGGGATGTAACAGTAAGAGATAGATCAAGTATCGACCATCATAAAGACTGAAAAATTGACAAAGATTATTGTTTAAGGTTGACGGACGCATGTCTTAATTAGTTTTTTTTTACAAATTGGTCAAACCCAAACTCAAACAAAAACATTGTTTCAATCGTTATGAGTCTACCGATTGAATAGAATTATAAACAATTTCTTGTAAATGGAATTTTTAAAGCATTCTGAATGTAAAAATAAAGAAAACGTGTGCAAGAAAATAAACACTACCTGCCAAAAAAAATGTGAAATTTTATTTGAAATCGGTTGAAAAAAATGTAAATCCGATCCCATATATAAACGAACACACACACACACACACACACACACACACACACACACACACACACACACATACACACACAAACAACCTGGGTTTTATAATAAGTATAACTCGATAACTCGATATTAAAAGTATAACTCGATATGAGTTGTCCTCCTTTCATTAATGCCTCTTAATTGTGTTTTCAAATTGATTTCGTGCAAAAAACAATTGTGTTTTTCAATTTTAGCGCTGTCAGAACCACCAGGTAATTTTACGTAGTCCTGTGAAGTTTTGTTGAAATTGGTTGAAAAATGGAAATCCGATCCAATATATAAACGTACACACACACACACACACACGCGCACACACACACACGCACACACACACACACGCACACACACACACACACACACACACACACACACCTTGCAATCTGCGTTTTATAAGTAAGATGATATCAGCAGAGTGACTTTGGAACTTGCTGAGTAGTGAATTATTCTCAAGGCCATTTTATCAAAAAACATTGCAATAATGCTGAAATTATATTGGGAGCATATAGCCTGCATACGGATAGAAGATGAATGCGATCACTATACATAAATAGAAACAGGCCTGAGGCAAGGATATGTCTTCTCATCAGATTACTTAAGTGAATTATTGGCCCTACCAGTATTTATCATCGTTGGGCCTAATCTTAACAATATAAAATAATCATTCGCTGAAGCTTCATAATTTATTTCTAGAAAGAAAGAAAGAAAGAAAGACAATAGAAAAGGAACTTTGAGAAAGCGATAACCCTCTCGTGCGTTTAACGTCTGCTTCAGTGAAATTATACAGTAATAGGTTGTTAAATAAATTTGTTCGTTTTGCATAATTTATTTTCATAATTATTATTTATTAGTAGTTCTTGTGAATCATTCAATAATGTATTCCCCTTAATTGGTTACAACCTCCTGTCAATGATCCACTAACTGTTCAATGCCTCGGCAATAGAAATCACTAGGTTTTGACTCAAACAATTAATCAAGACACGTTTAAAGCTCTACAACGTTGTTGAACGAAACACCCCTCAAATTGTAAGAAACCCACCGAAAAGCGTGATAGTCCGAAAAGACTAAATAATGAGAATCCCAACCGAGCTCTTTAATTGCATGTTTGATCAAGTTAGTGACATAGAGTAAGCATTGACATGTTCAATAATTGCCGGCTAGATTTATTTTTAAGCTGAACTGACTCTTTGGGCTTGTTCATTTGTTCAACATACAGCTTAGCATTGGCCATTTGGTTGTTTCGAAGCATTTCATAACAAATTAGTCCTTGCCTATCCCACCAAATGTATATCATTCGCTTGTTTAGTGGGGTTGCTTGCTTGTCGGGACTCGTCCATTCTTTTCCATACTTCAAATTCGCGTAAAGACACCATTTTTCGTCCCCGGGGATAATATTAATTTTTTTTTTTGTATTCACGAGCAGCCCTGTGTCGAGTAAAATGACGGCAATGGAGGAGTGCTGGAGTTTACTTCTCTCGGTCAACGCGTGTGACACCCATGAACCCTGTTTTTTTGGACCTTAGTCATTGAGTGAAGATGACGGACCACAGTAGCATGACGGCCTGCCATCTTCTAAGCCAGGTTCCTAGAAGTTTGGCGCGATTCTTTAATCAGGACGGCAAGATCGGCAAAAGTGTTTTTCATAGTTAGGACTTCCTAGTATCCCAAAACCAGGTTTATGTGAGGAAACTCTTCAGAAGGTTGTTTTTTAAAGTTCGCGTCTAGAATGCTCACAAGCAACATAGATCGTATACGATAGATACGGCCACGGACATTATAAAAACAGCCATTTTAAGTAACTTAAATGCCTACTTTGGACTTAAATTCCGGCTCTATTTGAAAGATAATGTCTAAAATTAAACCAAATTAAAAGAAATATTAATTTCTGTCTATATTTCTGAGATGAGGTACTGTAATTATTTACGTTATTTACATTGTTCGGGCCGTTGTCCTCATATTTATTTCCATATTCCCGACGTTTTGGCCGCTGTACGCTCCGGCCTTCTTCAAGATCTGTCTATATTTCTGAGATGAGGTACTGTAATTATTTACATTATTTACATTGTTCGGAATGTTGTTCCCATCTTTGTTGTCATTTCACGACGTTTCGGCTGTTGTACACACCGGCCTTCTCCAGGTGATTGGAATTTAGAACTGAAATTTAGTTCACCGGTGTAGACTTTTCTATTTCCACGCGCCATGCCTCTTCCGGATGTCTCAGTTATCTCCCTTTAGCCCAAGTTTTTGTTCACCACTGTAGTAGCCAGGTGTTGAACTCACAACTCTTTGGGTCAAGTCATTGGATTCAAACAACGTTCTATTCACTGGTCCATGTGAATATAATAATAAAGATGAGGACAACAGTCCGGACAATGTAAATAATGTAAATAAATTAATTTCCGTATATAAATAAACTTTTTCACCATTTTAAAACATGGGTTCGTTTTTTCATCAGTCATCGACTCATCAAGCCGTCACTGTATACGAAAAATATAAACAACGTATTAAAAATTCTTTTTAAAATCGAATCTTTCTCATAGAGAAATGTTTCGAAGTACTTTAGTAAATTTCAGATATAATTCACTGGATTTTGTAAAAGTAATGCCCACCTTTTACTTAAATCAGAATGATAATAACCTTTGTTTACACATGATAGCCTGTGAGGTCAAAGGACAATGTAGAAATAATGTAATTCTATCCTCAGTCCGAAAAAAGTATAAATAAAACCTAAAGTGATAAAGAAGACCAGCAGGGCTATAATCAATATTTTTGTTTTTATTTATGTTTAAAAATATATTTTCTTTAACCAAAAGTTTAAGGATGTAAATTTTTTATTCGAGACGCTTTAATGAAACTTCGTATAATGAATAAATTTGAAGGATTTTTTGTGACGTCAATGAACACTCGTTGCCATTTTTGTGATGCCAAGGAATACTCGTTGTCTCTTTCGCAATTCTCGTTGTAGTAGAGACTTTGTAATCGGAGATAGAACTATAGTAACGCCTTTGAACAACGCCTGTGTCAGATTTTTTTTCTTTCTTTCGTTATTTTTTATGTCTTTCTTTCTGACATTCTTTTTTCTCTTTGCTTTTTATTTTTGCTGAGGCAACTTTGCTTGTCTTTAAGTATATTTTCTATTTCTTTTCGTTTTTACTTTACCTTTGTTTCCAGAGATTTACCTTCTTTCTTTCTTTCTTTCTTTCTTTCTTTCTTTCTTTCTTTCTTTCGTTATATTCTTCTTTTTCTCCGAATGTTTTCTTTCCTTTGTTTATTTCTCCTATCGTTTCATGGTTCTTTCATGCGTTCCCTATCACTTTCTCTCTGTCTTTCTTTCTTTTTTTTCTTTCTTTCTTTCTTTTTTTGTGTTTGTTTCTTTTTTTCGTTATTTTTTATTATGTCTTTCTTTCTATCTTTTCTCTTTTCTTTTTCTGCAGAGGCAACTTTGATTGTTTTTAAGTATATTTTCTTTTCGTTTTTACTTTACCTTTGTTTCCAGAGATTTACCTTCTTTCTTTCTTTCTTTCTTTCTTTCTTTCTTTCTTTCTGTCTGTCTGTTTGTCTGTCTTCGCTTCATCAAATGCCATCTTCATGTTTAATGAAATAGGTGGTTTTGTGATGCCAACGAACACTCGTTGACACTTTTATGACGTCAAAAACACTCATTCCTACTTTTGTGACGTCAACGAACACTCGTTGCAACTTTTGTGACGTCAAAAAGACTCGTTGCTACTTTTGTGACGTCAAAATCTCTTGTTGCTACTTTTGTGGCGTCAACGAACAATCGTTGACAATTTTGTGACGTCAACGAACACTCGTAGCTACTTTTGTGACGTCAACGAACATTCGTTGCAATTTTTTGACGTCAACGAACACTCGTTGCCACCTTTGTGACGTCAAAGAAC